CCAAACCATTTAATTGCTGAACCCCATGCAAACTGAGCGTTGCCATGGCGACCTGCAGCCCTAGAGAGGACTATCTGTCTCCTCTTTGACCTTTCAGGAGATCTGTATCTTCCTCAAGCCCCCTTCCATAATCCGGTTTTTAAAATATAATATTATGCTACTGGAAGGGATCAGACCTTTAATCTGCTTGTGTGTGCATGTGTCAGTGCATGGCTGGGGGTGCTGCTTTGGGGCACCCTGCAGGGTTCAGGGCCAGACAGGGCACAGCACAGTGTGACTGCCCTGCTGGGGCTGCAGGTGAGCTCCCAGGGGGAATTCCTGCCTTTGGCACACAGGTGGAGGAATCCTCTCCCTCTCCATTCATTCCCCTTAGCTCCTTCCACGCAGGTCATGCAGCAGTTGGGCTTTTGCTGTACTCTTTTGGTAGCCCCAAAGTGCATGTTCTGGATCCTGACCTGAGATCTTGCAAGCTGGATGTTCTTCTGCCTGTTGTGTTCCCTCCATGTCTGTGAGCTGGGCTGTGATAGGTGCTGGCCAGGGCCTCTTTTATGGGATGTGGGAACAAAAGTCTGCAGCCAACAGTTAAGAGTGAAGAATAATAGAATTAATGGAGTGGTTCGGGTTGGAAGGGACCTAAAGACCATCTTGTTCCAACTCCCTGCCATGGGCAGGGACACCTTCCACTAGCCCAGGTTGCTCCAAGTTCCATCCAACCTGGCCTTGGACACTTCCAGGGATGGGGCAGACACAGCTTCTCTGGGCAGCCTGTGCCAGGGCCTGCCCACCCTCACAGGGCAGAATTTCTTCCCAATATCCCATCTAACCCTGCCCTGTGGCAGTGGGAAGCCGTGTTCCCTTCTCCTGTCACTCCAGGCTCTTGTCCAAACTCCCTCTCCAGCTTTCTTGGAGCCCCTTTAGGCACTGGAAGGGGCTCTCAGGTCTCCCTGGAGCCTTCTCTTCTCCAGGTGAACCCCCCCAGCTCTCCCAGCCTGGCTCCAGAGCAGAACTGCTCCTCTGATCATCTTGGTGGCCTTCTCTGGGCTCACTCCAGCAGGTCCATGTCCTTCCTGTGCAGGGACCCCAGAGCTGGATGTGATCCCACTCAAAGTGGGATCTCACCAGAGCAGAGTAGAGGGACAGAATCCCCCCCCTCAGCTGCTACTCCCCCCGTGAGGATGAACCCAGGACACAGTTTGGCTTTTTGGGCTGAGAGAAGCTGGGGCACCCTGAGCTTCTCACCCACCACCACTCCCCAGGACTGCTCCCAGTCCATTCCCCACCTGGCCTGTGTTTGTGCTTGGGAATGAGGAGCTGGGGACCAGTCAGTCCAAGGGAATTGGAGCAGGGGGTGTGGGACACAGTTGGGACACAGCTGCTCCCCGTTCCTCACAGCTGTGGGCATTTGGGGGTATCTGGACTGCTGTGGGAGGAGCTCAGGGCTCAGCCTGTCTTCAGGAAGGACAACTTTCCAGGTTACTGTTTTCCCTGGAGAAACGTGCTGGGATTTTTATGGCTCGTGGAGGAGGCAGGGCTGAGGTGGGTGTCTGCCTGCTGTGGGCTGTGTGGTGTCACTGATGGTTTGGCTGAGCTGCTCCCTCGGGGCTGGGGGAAGGCAGAGCCTGGGCAGGACTGAGCTGTGAGGAGTTTGGCCAGGCTGGAGTTACAGCTGATGTTTCTCAGCTTCTGGTGTCCCAAAGCCTGTGGTGGTGCAATGTCTTTTTTTCCTGCTGGACCAGGACAAAATTTTAGGGCTGGGAGTGCAGCTGCAGTGAATGTGCAAAAAGAGGTGATTTCTGAAAATCGCTGTTACCTGGGCAGAGCCCTCCTTCCCAGCTACATCACTGAGAGCTGGTGGAGTACTGGAAGAACTGAGAGTCAATTAGAAGTTAAACTTTCACTCCTTTTATTAAATAGCATGGGCACGAAAGCAGTTGGTTGGACTTTGTGGGAGGTTCAGGGAGGTCTCTTGTTAAAATTATATAAGTTTACTCTCTTGTGCAGTCCTGGGTGAGGAGGAGGTGGCAGAGCTGGCAGCTGCAGAGCCAAAGCTGGTGATTTGTTCTGTTACTCCATTATGGTGGTAGAAGGTCCTGTGGGTTTAGCAGAGCAAGTCCCTTGTTAGAGCCCACACAGTCCCTGCAGTCTGATTGCAGCTGTGTGGGGCTGCCTTTGCTGGGGCAGTTTGGCCACCAGAGTTTTAAATAATGCTGAAATCTTTCACCTATGCAGAAAGATCTCAGTTTTTCATAAAAGTCTCTGGTTACCATTCATCCTCTTTTCTCCTGCTAAGACTTGAGGCCCAGCTCTGTTCTTCCTCCTGAACCAGGATGAGCCCAGAACACAAAGGCAGCCTCTGCTCCAAACCTCCTGTGCACCAGGGCAAAAGGAACAACTCCTGGGGACAGTTTGATGTGTTAAAAGCTGTCTCGGCCTGTTTGCTTTATCTTGAGGCTTTCTTCCCTTTCCTCTCAATGTCACCTTGGTGTTCAGTTTGCCTTCTGCAGAGGTATTCCAGCGAAATCCTGTTTTCCTGGGATTCTGCCTAATTGTGTGGGTAGACTTGAGTGGAGTTCAAAGCCTGTGACTGTGCCTGTGAGCCCTGTGGTACCTGCTCCTGTGTGGAGTGATGACTTGCTAATGCACCTTTGCACCCCGTGATGATTTTCGTTTTAAGAGCGTGGAAAATCTCCTAAAAAAACACAAGAATTCTGGGGAAGAGAAAAATGCCACCTCTGGTGTGGTAATGTTTCCTTCTGTGTGTTTTTGCTTTCATTGGATATATCACAGCTTTCTGCACTCTTTGAGTTTTGGAGAACCCAGTTAAGGAGCTGTGCCGTGCTCTTCTCCCGGGAAGTTCAGTTTTAGTGGTGGGTAAAACAATTCCTCCTCGTAGCTAAACGTGTTTACAGTGCCGTGGGCTCGATTGGGATGCAAGACACTCTGCAAATGCGAAGATGTAATTATCCCATTTTTTCTCTTCCTACTCCCTGCCTCTCTCCCCCTGCTCTCCGGGCTCCTCTCCTCCGCCCTTTCCCCAGCGTTGTGCTGATGGCAGCGTTTATCTGCATTTGTCCTCTGTCCCTGACATCCAGTTATTGATTGGCATGATTAAAAAGAACTGATAATCACCTCACATTAATCCCATAAATGACTTAAGACACCAAAATATTTGCATAATGCATCTTAAAAGGTGGCAGCTAAAAGAGGATAAGACCCAAAACTGCTTGGCACAGGAGAAATGGGCTTCCCACTCACCTGTGGGCTTGCTTAAGTAATTAGCCTTCTGCTTGCATAAGGAGGAATCTGAACTGGTTTAGCGGAGGAAGATGCAATGGGTGCTCAAAGGCTTTGGGATCTGAGCATCCCTTCTCCCAGCTGAGCCCGGGGGCGGGCGGGGGGAGCAGCGGGAATGTGGCAGCGGCTGCCGGAGGAGCGAGCGCGGCGGGGCTGTTTTTGTCTGCAGCATCCTGTGAAAATCTGGAGCCAGACGCCCGCTGAAAGTACCTCTGTCTAAAGACTTTCTGTCATAAACTTATCTGATTAGCAGGGGAGCTAGACGACAGATTAGCCCCTGCTCTCCAGCAGCAGGGATGGGCTCTCCCGGGAGCGCCGGAGCACATCCGCTCCTGGCGCTGGGAGCAGCCCGGAGGTGGGGGCGCAGCAGGTGGGGAGGAGGTGGAGGGGAGGGGGGATAAGAGGGGGATATTTAAAGGAAGATCATTGCTAGGTAATTCTGCAGATAATGCACCCTCCCTGCTGCCCTGCTGGTCCCAGGTGAGGACACACTCTCTGCCACCAGTGCGTTGGTGTCATGTGCTGTGTGTCACAGCAGCACAGAGTGGGTGCACTTGGCATGTGAGTAGAGGCTGGGAGGGAGCTGTGGCTGTGGGAGGGGGGGGGCAATATTGCTAATATGTATGGGGGGTTTTGTGTCTCCGGTTCTTCTGGCTGTCATCTTCCATTTAAAGGGAGGGGAGGAAGAAAAATAGCCACGTTTAGCTCGGGGCAAGCACCTTGTGCTGGAAGGAAGGGGGGGTTTGACATAACGCTGCAAACAAACAAAAGGGAGACATTCCAGCATTGCCAGTTAGTGTGGTGTTTTACCTTGTTCTTCCTCCTCACTGTTTGTATATCATTTATGCAGAAATATTTTGCAAGTGGATAGTGGTTTGCAAGCAGAAGCATTTGCCACTGAAATGCACTATCTGCTACAGTGAATGCTTTTTGTGTTCTCCCTCTCCATAGAAGGAAAAGAAATAGAAAAAAAAAAAAAAGACTAAACTAGCCTACTTAGCAGCAATCTGATGCGAGGATAACAGGCAAAATAATGCTGAATTGCTCTAAAACATTCTCTTTTCCCAGAAGGAAGAGCATTGTTTCAGGGTCTGTTAGAGGGAAGAGTTGAAAATTAGTTTAGTAAATAAATCTGTACCCTCAGCTCTGAGTAATGCTGATGTCCGGGCTCGTGGTGGGTTTCTCTCTAAAGAGAAAAACTATTATTCAATCAAATCAAGCAGTCTTTTGTTCCAAGAGTGATGGAATGGAAAAACTTGGTTTTTTTGAGAATAGAAGGGTGGCAACTGATAGAAAACTATCAGTTATTTCAGTTCAAGTTTCCTATTAATTCTGGAACAGACCTGCCAATTCCTGCACTTTCAGTTTTTCCATCCTAGATGTAAGTCCTGGCCCACGCAAGTTATATCTGGCAAAACTGAAATCAGGAGCTCTGGCAGCTGCAGAGTCCTTTATGGGAAATGAGAGTGCTGGCTGGGAAGGACTTTTTGCACTTCTCTCCCCAAAACCAGAGGAGGTTACCAAGGAGGTTACTGATGGGTGGGAGGGGGGGAACAACCTTCCTTGGAATACAACCGTGTCAGGGGCAGACAAAAGGCTCCTGCATGTGCACACACACACACACACAGATGCTCACACACACAGAAATCAATTATGTGGTGGCAAATAGGATTTCCTTAACTTGGTGCTTTTCTGCTCTGTTGCAGCCGCGATAACGACCTTTCCACTATCATCTCCAACCTGCACCAGAGCCGCCAGCTCGTTATGCCAGAGACCCAGAGCCGCTGTGAATTCAAGAGAAACAGCATCGAGGTTGGCCTGGGAGCAGCAGGTAAGGAGCTGGAGCAGGTCCTGCTGCTCTGGGTTCGTTGACTCCCCTCCTCTCCCTTTGGCTGCCTCGTCCGTTCGTTTTTCGGCAGCTGGTTTCTTTGTGTTACAACTCTGCGAGCTCTAGGAAGGGTTTTTTTAATATTCTGGCTAAAGATTGACGTGGAAAGGATTTCATGGTGATGGTGAAGTCCTTCTGAGATCCCAGCCCTGTGTGTTATTCCCAGATCTAGTGGTCTGTGTTAGAGTACTGGCAAAGGAGCTCGCGCCAGCAGAGGAGTGAAATGTCCCCAGGGTTGGTGCCAAGTGAAGCAGAAAGGCCTTGCAGAGAGCATGATTTGATTTGTAATTTCATTAATCAGAGGTTCCCCGTGCTGCTGCTGTGCCTGCCAACTCCTTTGGGAGTGTGGTTGTTTGGTTTTGTAGCGCTGCCTGGTTTTTTTGGGTAGTTCACCTGGTTTCAGGTTAACGTGGTGGCACCAGAAATGCTCCTCTTGGATCCTGCCCTGTGCCTGTCTGGATGACAGTGAGGGAGTGTGGGCAAGGATGCTCTGGTGACAGTTGTTCAGCAGTCACTAAGTGAGGCTCTGTAATAAACTGGAGATCTGTTGATTGCAGGATCTGTGATTTGCCGTTGATTATAAATAAATGTTGAGGGAGACCTGTGATTTATGTTAGTTTTTTATGTTGACTGATCCCTGCCCTTCCAAATCAGGGCTGGATCTCTATGTGTGTTAATACAGGCCTTTCCTGAAAACCTGTCTGTTTGTGGATTTGTTCACATTTTTTTTTGTTAGCCATTCTGTTGACTGTGTAAATTAACCCCAAATCCGAAGGGAACACCACATCTAACACCCTTTGGGAATGTCTTTGGAGGGTGCTCAGGAACATGACAGGTACCTGGTTGGCTTTTTGCCTGAGGTTTAACCCTTTCCTGACAGGTTCCTTCTGCCTGCAGTGGACTTTGTACTGGTGTGACTACTTAAGTGAAGTGTTCAGTGCCATGGGTGCTGAGCTGGGGGATTTGTGATATGTCTGTAGAGCAGCCATGGGCAGCTCCCAGTCTTTGCTCTCACATCTTAATCTTCATATTCTCATCAATAACAGATTTCCTTAACAGCCCCTTTTCCTACACAGCTCCAAGAGCACCAAACTGGCCAGAGATCCATTTTTCTGTATGACCTTGCTTGAGTTTATATGTCTGTGTGTTGAAATGGTTTTTAACATTGTTTGCTTTACAGAGAAACTGCTGGGCTTGATCAGTGTTGCTGGGATTCTTTGAGGTCCATGGCATTCCTGAAATGCAGAAGGGTTCTTCTCATTCCCATCAGTGCTAGGCAGTGGAAAAGATGAGATGTAGAAGCCCTCATTCTTATTTGTTAAGAGTTGATGTTGGAGGTTCTCTGGTTAGTTTTTTAACCTTAAGAAGCAGTAAGAAGTGGCCTCAAGCTGTGCCAGGGGAGGTTTAGATTCGATATTAGGAAAAGTTTCATCATGGGAAGCGTTGTAAAGCATTGGAACAGGCTGCCCAGGGCAGTGGTGGAGTCACCATCCCTGGACATGTTCAAAAAAACGTGTGGATGTGGCACCCGGGGACGTGGTTTAGTGATGAAACACGGTGGTGGTGGGTTGATGGCTGGGCCTGGGGATCTTAGAGGGCTTTTCCAACCTTAATGGTTCTGTGAAATACTCAAGGAGTGTTGGAGCAGTGAAAGAGAAGAGGCTCATCCACACAAGAGGCCACCAAGCGAGCGACAAAGCTCTTCAGGACGTGACAGATCTGGTGTGTCAGACAAGAGCTGATCTGCAAAAGAGCGAGATGGGGGGGATGGTGGGGATATTGTCACATGTCCCCAGGGACAGTTTAACTCTGAATTCCCCCCTCTCTCTGGAGCCAGCTCTCTCTCCATGCTGGTTTGATTAAGGGAGGGCTCATTTTGCCAAAGTCTCTGCAGGAGCCGCCGGCTCTGAGTGCAGAGCGTGTGCTGAGCTGGTCCCTGGGTCACCTCCCAGGCACACACAGGCCAGGGGAGCAGGAACAGAAGGTGCTGGGATTTGGAGCTGATGCCCCATTGTTGGCTTTGTGTCTTGGTTCTGTTTGTTTTTGCTGGCAGGGGGGAAAAAAACACCAATTGTCACTTATAGAATGTGAAGAGAGCCAGTGCTGGGTTAGTCTGAAAGGCTGGTTGTTGTTTAAACCACTTAGTTACAACAATAATGGGAGAAGAACCTTGCCCCCAGTTGTCTGCTGTGTCTGCACTGTGTGCCCTCGAGAACAGTGCTGTGTATTTGGGTTATGAGAACCTTCCCCCTCCAAAAGGCATCTGGAGATAACCAGTGCTGAATAAATGATGTTAATGCCATCGTGTCCCTGCCTCACTCGTGTCCGTGAGCTGCAGAGCTCTGAGGCACTTGGGATCTGCTGCTGAAACAGTTTCTGTTGCTGGTTTATGGGTTTGGAGTTGGGCACATGGTGCCAGTCAGGAGAGGTGGAGATTCCAGAGGCTCTGCTGTTCCAGCTGCACATCCCCCTTGTGAGAGGTGAGTGTGTGCTGCTGGAACAGGACTCACCAGCCTCTGCTCCTTCTTGGCTGTGGCCAAGGTTAAGCAGAGGATTGAGAACAAGGACAGCACAAATGGAAGAGATTTGCTTTTTGCAGGGCCTGTGAGGGTAGCAGGAGGGTTGAAGCTGGCAGGATTTGGCTGGTGTGTGATTAATTCTGTGAGGGAATTCCCTGATTTATAGTTAGAACCGGGATTAGAGGCAGTGCAATGGTTTTGAACAGCATGGACTGGAAAATTAGAAGTATTACTGCATCTTTAATGGTCTTTGAAATGCAGAAAGGGGCTGAAATTAATGAAAAATAATTGTGTATAGTTAGTTCTGGGGCTTTTATGACTTCTGGGAGATAGGAAAGGCTAGAGCTGGGGTTCAAGGTTAGAACTGGGCTGATGTTCAGGTCACAGGGGGCTGAAAAGTCTGACTGGGTCATATAAGAACTTTGTTTGGAAGAGCAGCACTGATTAATATCCTTGGAAGGCTTATGGATAACTTTTAAGTGAAAACAGGTCACTTTATGTCAATGGTGATGGTTATATTTGAGAACAGAGAGACTGAAGAGATTAATTTGGGACAGCAGAAGCTGAAAGACTTGGAAAATAAATAACTGTGTCCTGAAAGACTCAGATAGGGTTTGGCCCTGCCTGGAGCAGGATTTAATAACCCACTTGGGTTGTGCAATAAACCTGGAGGAGGTGCAGCCTTGGGGTTTGGGACAGCTGGGACCAAAAACATCACTGTATTTTGGATCTGGTGATTCCCAAAGAGCTATAAAGGGTCTGGAATTATCAACACCAAATGGCTCTGCTGTTTCTTGCATTGCTGAGGGTGTGATTAAGGCCAGTGTGGTGATTGTGACACGTTGGTAAGTGTGGCATCTCCAGAAATCTGAGAGCTACAGAGCTTTGAAAATAAATTTATCATGGAAAAAAATGGAAGGGCTGTTACTACTGTTCTACAGTGATAAAGGGGAAAGGGAGGTAGTTACGTTGCCAGCAGGTAAAATTTTATCAGAAATGTTGGACAAGATGCATAATTCCTTGCACCAGTTTTCGAGTACTTTGTAGGAGATGAGTCAGGCAAGACAAAGAAGGGCAAATTCCTCAAGATCATAAAGCAGATGAACAACAGAGCTCAGTTTCCTGCTTTGTCCTCCCTAACATCTCTTCTAAACCTCCATGTTGTTGTTCCACGGTGACAGTATGGGATAGATGTGGGTTTTAGAGAGTCAGCACAGAGCTGATCTGAGGGTGGTGTTCCCCTGCTGCTGCTCTCTGCACTGAAGCAAGATGTCTAGCTAAGAACAGCTGACAGCCTAACTCATGTTTGAAGTCCCCTGATGGCTGCTGCACCTTTAAAGGAAATCAGGAATGCCAGTGCAAAATTCTACCAAAAAAGGCAAAAACCTGCTCCAGGTGGTTGTTCTCAGTGAGAACCTGGAGCCCTGGGCTGGCTGAGCCTTTTGCAAGGACAGCAGAAGTTGGTGGCCAGAGGTGTGTGCTGATAAAATCTAATTGCCCTATTGATTGGCTTTGGAGCCACTGTCAGTGGGGAGTGATGGAGATATTTGTGTGTGGGTGATGCGTGTTGGTTCTATCTCGCTCCTCCAGGGCCACTGGGGACCCTCAGGTGTTACAGGGATCTCTTAATCTGGGAGCAAACCTGTGTGTGCTGCGCCTGCTCTGCAGCACCACAGATTTATTATTGAAATTACCACTGAGGCACTCGGGTTTCCTCAGGTCCCAGGGGATCCTGGATTCTGGGAAGAGCTGTCCTGTTTGTAACTCGGGATTCTTAACTAGGTGGAGAAATCCCATCTCGCTGGTTTGGGATTTTACCCATCTGCAACCTCTCACACTGTTCTTCCTTCTCATCTGGGTTGGCTGGTGACAGTGTCACGTCCTCAGAGTTTTAAGAACAGTGTATCTCTGCTTTCTCTGCCTTTCTCTGTGCCTGAGAGTCGAGGTGCTTGTGCTTGCTAAATGCCTGTCCTCCAAAGGGTTGTGCAGATTCCAAGTGTGCAGGTGTTTGTTGTTTCCAGCACAGACTGGAAGAGCAGCAGTAGGTTCTTGTGGAGGTTCAGAGAGTGGAGTGTGAGGGAAGGGCCTCTCTGCCATCTCTGCTGCTCTTCATTGATCAAAATGATACCAAGCTCCTCTTCTGAAGTCTGGGTTATGTCTACACTGGGCTTACATCCAGCTGCTGGGTTTAATCTCCCTACCACTTCCCTCGCCAGTTTTGGACCTTTTAAATTATTTATTTACTTATTTTTGAAACTTGGGACCAGCTAATGCAGCTGCTGGGAGGTGAGGTTGGGTTTTGGGCAGAGGGGTACTATCCCTTTCCAGGGAAGAGAGTTGAGCAAGCACTTATAGGTGCTGACAAGTCTGCAGGGCTGCAGTTGTGGGGAACACCGTGTAGAACCCACCTGGAAAAATAAGCTT